TTAATATATATATATATATATACACAAAATATTAGGATTTACAAAATATAAAATTATAAGTAGTCAATCAACCAATAGTTGTTGTATAGAACAGCCTACACCAAACATCACTAACACCAGTATAGCACAACATTTTGCTTGCAAGTTTAATCTTGTTCCACTCCTAGATCAAAGCAGTCCAATAACATGGAAAAGCAATAGTAAATTTGTATGTAAAGAAAATAACATAATATAGAAACAATTAAGTTAACTAAAAAAAACTTCATCTCAATTATATACAACCATAGTCAAAAACTTAACTTGACAACACAACTAATCAATCATTTCATATCAATCACTTGTATCTCAATATGCAACTTAACAACTAATCAACTTTACTATACAACTCTCCAGTATCTAACGATGCATACAATCTTCAACAACTTTAATAATAGATAACAGAACAACACATTATACATCTTATTAGCACATAACATAACAACTTAACCACACAACAACTTATCAACACAACATAACAACTTAGCGTCACAACAACTTATTAACATATAGCATAACAACTTAACAACGCAATAACTTTACAGAACAACAACTTATCAAGACAACATAGAAGCTTAACACTAAAACAACTTATAAACATATAGCATAGTAGCTTAAAAACACAACATCTTATCAACACAACATCTTGATGCGTCATTGCACATTTCAACTAAGAGATCTCTTACAACATAGGTGAACAGTTTAAGTAGTTTAATCTCATTGAATCACAATGTCTGATCCCTAAAAGAAGATCAAGTCAGCAATGTCTAGCATATCAATGCCAAGTCAATACAACAGGTGGCATATCAAAGCCTATTCAACAACTTTATTCATTTCTCGGATGTTGCCACTTAGATTAGGCAAGTCCAATACCATTGTCAAGAGTATAACAACTTGGATGTGAACCTACCATGACATTAGTATGCATCAATTAAGCCTATATGAAATTAATCCATCAAATACCCTCCAAATATTATGCACCTTTCTAACAATCAATTAAGGATTTTACCATTCAATTTCATACCTTACTAAGTTTGATCACTTCTTAACAAGTATGGTTCAACCTGTCCACCATACAATATCAAGTAAGGACTTAGAAGAGACACAACACACCACTTTAACATTTGGGGTCTTAGAACACCACAACACATATTCATACAATAGGATATCTCATCTTTTAAAATAACACATTTCCTCTAGACTTAAGTTCACAATACAACACAACTCAACAACACAACTTAACAATATAGTTATACAGCACAATGGCTATACAACACAGCTCAACAACATAGTTATGCAAAACAACTCAATAACATAGCTATACAGCACAACCCAATATCATACAACATGCAACATGCATATTCTCAACGCAGTTCAACTTAACAACATGCATCATGCATCTTCTCAACACAAACCATCTCAACTTCATATAAGTATTCTACAACATAATTGATATGATCCGATCGACAAAAAGAAGAATACCGATCATTTTTTACATTTGATTCATCATTCTATACAATTAGATAATTCGTATTGCGCACAAAATTTGAAGCACGTGGAATAGAAAAGAAATGGTTGGAAGCCACAATTCGAATGGATCAATAAGTCAATAAAGATTCACCAAAGGTTTATCCTTTTGATAAAAACCAAGATTTTTGATAAAAACCAAGAGAAGAATTCTCTACAAAGATAAAAAAATCTCATTTAATGACTTCCAAAGGTGTTTACAAATGAGTGGCAAAACTTATTTATAGTTAACCCACTTAAGAAGTGTATTAGACACATTGCAACTCACTAAAATACCCACACACAAAAAAAAAGATTTGGCATGCAAAACAAATCTAAACTATAATTGTAGGTTTGTCATTTTCGCTCAACTGTCAAATACTCGCTTAGCTAAAATAGACTCAAAGAGAAATTCTCGTTCAAATGCAATCTGGTTGCTCAACAAGAATGAACTGAAAAAATTGAGAGCTAAGCTCACTCGATTGCAAGTTGGTTGTGCAACTAAAATAACCGAGAGAAATTTTTTCCTAGTTACTATTTGGTCGCTCAGCTAAAATTTAGCGACCAATTTTTTGTCTCTATTTTTCTGACAAAATTAAATCCTATTAAGTTGACTAAAGCACAAAATCAATTCAAGAATATTACATGCACCATGGTGTTGAAAAGATATTCTACAAGTTGACTAAATGGTTAAGCCTCTTTTCTTAACACTCTAAGATTTTTAAAAATAATCCAAAAATTATCTTCAGTTTCTTCCTTGATTAACCATTATAGGATCATATTAATAACCTTTCATTATAAACAACAGAATACAACATCACTCCCTAGTTATTCAACTAACAACACTTTGTATATCAATACATTAAATTTAAACAACTTGACATATTTCATCTTCAAATTCATTGCATGAATCTTCAAATAGTCATACCATGATAAGTGATCTTGAACAAAATAAGATAAATATATTAAAGATAAAGAACACATTTGAACTAATAAGAAAAAATGATATAATCATACTACTATATAATGTCAAGAAAATTAAATTTTTATTAATAATCTCACTTTTATGCTCAAGATGAAACTATCTTAGATTTTATATTGGAACAAAAATAAATAATAAAATATAATTAATTTTCATAAATTACATATTTAAAATGATGAAAATAACTTCAATTACTCAATTTGAACATAAAAAAATATTCTCACACATACAAAGTAAAAGTTATCACTAACATAATAAAAAAATTATATAATTAATAAAAGCTACATAATTAAAAGCTTCCAAATGTCAACTTTTTTATTGCAAACAAATTTATTTATTTAAATTATAGAATAAATTACACTTTTAATCTTTTCATCTTTATCAATTCGCAATTTTGGTCCCTATATTTTAAATAAAGACATTTAATGTCTCTAATTTTAAAAATATAAAGTTTTAATTCTTTCGTCAAATTCATATCTACTAATTATTATATTTTAATATTTACTATATAAATAAATTTTTAATTAATAAAATAAATATCAATCACTTATAGAAAAAAAAACGATACAAACAAAATCTAAAATCTTTTATATTGTTATCTTTAATTTTTCTCTTTATATATCATATCATTATATTCCTCATGTAACATGTTTTCATTTATTAAAAACTAAGAGTGAAAATTATTGAATTAAAAGTAAAATTTACAAACTTCTATAACTTTTAACTAATAAAATATTTGTATGAACAGCACTTCTCCAATAACTGGCATATGCATTAAGCAACAGTAATTTGTTTACAAGAATGGGAGAAACATGAGATTGTGTAAAGGCTGTGATTGAAGAACATATGCTTTGCGTCAAAACATGTGGCGGTGACACGAACTGGGCACATAAAAAACGACCTCATGTTTTGTGAATAACAAAGAAACTGAGCGTATACATAGTAGAAAGGATAGGTCACATAGCATAGGAGCCCTGTTATTAACGAAACGCATCATCACATTCACACGCACAATAAGAATCCTCGAATATCACGAGTGAGGGCACCTAGCGAGGAGCCATGACAGAACATCGTTCCTAACGATGTCAACGTTGTGATCGGTTTCTCCGAAGAGCAGGGAATGCATCATCCCATCGTACACCTTGATGGTCTTGTCGTGGCTCCTAGCCTCGCGGTGGAGCTCCCTGCTGACGTTGGGATCGGTGACAACATCGGCGCTGCCATGTAAGACAATAAAGGGAAGAGTGACATCGCGGAGGCTCCGATTGAGGAAATCAGTGACCCTGAGAAGCTCGACGACGGTTCCCAACCTGGGCCTGCCCCTGTAGCGGAAGGGGTTCATGTCGGCGATAACCTTCTTGTAGTCGACTTTGACGGACTTGTAGAGGAGATCGGGGGTGGGGACGATGGGGAGGGTGGGGAAGAATCTGGCGAGGAAAGTGAGGATCTGGGGGATGGGCCACTTGGGCCTGACGTTGTCGGAGATTTTGCACATGGGGGCGAGCAAAACGGCGCCGTGGAAGGCTTGGGGTTGGAGGAAGTGGATGAGGAGGGCGATGGCGCCGCCCATGGACTCGCCCCAGAGGAAGGAGGGGAGGGCGTGGAAGAGGGGGTTTTGTTTGACGGAGGTGAAGAAGGAGAGGCAATCGCGTGCGGCGAGGTCCACGTTGGGGACGTAGGCCTTGAGGCCGGTGGAGCGGCCGTGGCCCTGGAGGTCGAGGGCGAAGCAGGCGAACCCCTTTTGGGCCAGGAAGATTGGGCTGGACTGGAAGGTCCAGGAGATGTCGTTGCCGTAGCCGTGGAGCATGAAGAGCAGGGCGCGTCGAGGGCTGGGTGGGCCTGGGACCCATGAGCGCGTGAAGAGCGTGGGGCCTCCCTGGGTTCTGAAAGGGGAGCTACTGGATGTGATTCCTTGCTGCTTGTAGTACTCTTCTTCCGGTGTGAACCCCCAGTAGTGGGGGTACGATTGGAGAATCTTTTCTTCCTCTTCTTTTTCCATTTATCATATGTTCAATCAACCCTTTCTGGATACTGGTTTTGCCTTCTGCGGTTAAACTTTGTTGCTTTCAGCCACTCATCTTATGTGCCTCACCCTTTCCTATTTTGACTTTTGCTTTTAACAACTGGACTCGGCTTTTGATCCACTCTAATTCCTCAGCTGCCCCATCATGGATCCATCAACTACTTCTCTCACTAGCTTCTTTAAAAAATATTTTCAAATTTTAAAATAATTTACATAAGAAATAAATATTAAAAAAAGGAACTTACTAGTTTGGCATATTTTTATTTGCCCTAAAATATGAGAATAAAAGAATATGGAGTGAAAGAAATGTGCTAGTATTTTTCAAAAGGAAAAAACTGAACCTTCATTTTGCCTTTTAAAATATCAAGTTGCAAGCAAATATTTTTCAAGGTTTGGTCGATAGAGATTGTTGCAAGCAAGTGGCATACACTGTACGTTAATTATATTATCCAGAACTTCTGTAACAAGTAAAAACAAATGGACAAAACTATTCGGTATAACTCAAAACCCATTCACGATAAACAAGCAATTAAAGGTGATAATACATGAAGCAAATAAAAAAAAATTACATTATTATACATGGATCAAGGAGATGTATTGTACTAAAAAAAAATTGAACAATTATTCAAGTACATTTGAATCAAGCATGGATATTAACAATTAACAGGCCGAACCTTGGAACAACCCGCTCTCGAACCATACACGCATAACGGTAACAACGATATATCGATTTTCACCTGTAACATTGCATTGAAAAAATGGACACGAAACGGAGCAATAAAAGAGAAAAACGGTATAGCAAAAATTTATATATTATTTACAGTAAAAATAAAAGTCTATAAAATATTCCTATGTTGCTATATATGCTCTCTACATCCTATAAAAAGATGTGAGATTAAACTAAAATTTCCATGTCAAAGAATGAAACATCTCATTCTAACCATATAAACATTTGATAAAGCCTTGTTTACTACTTCCAATCTTTTGTTAGAAAATGCCCCTATTCTGTTTCTTCAGCAGTCACCGGAAAGAAACCAAAGATGACTCCTGCCCCCAGGGAAAAAATCATCAAGCCAAAAAATGTATAATATAGCTGTAAATATGTACGTCTTAATCACATCATGAACAGATATTTTAAGTCATCCACAGTGAGGCGACTCTGACGATCACCAGTTCCATCCTCCCCAAATGCAGATGCAACCATCATTCTTTTCTTTTGCTGCAAAAACAAGGCAAAGATTTTCACGCATAAGCAACCACTGCATTTTACACTTTTTGATTGACACTCTTCTATAAGTCGTGCAATGATTTTTTTAGCAGAAAGAGTGTGCTCGCGAACAAAGC